TGCTCCACTTGTTTCATGCATATAAATTGCTTTATTATAATTATGCAAGGAGTTTTACAGTTGTGAAGGATTTTTTTAAAAGACCCGCCCTCTGTACTTTGAAAAAAAAAAATGCACGAGTCCATTTCTCCTCGTGCACGCTCTGTTTAAAATGTGCTGTTCTCATGGTTCATAGAAGCTGACTGTGTCCCCATACAGCGGGGACTTTATAGTGATCTCAGTTAACTGACCGTTCAGACAGACGATCACTGCTTTTTGCTCCGTTGGTCACGTAACTCCGCCTCTACCGCGCAGTGCCTGCGCCATCTTTGTTATTAGTCGCTGCTGTTGAGCAGGACACTTTTACAGCGAATCCCATAATGCTTTGCGAGGAGAGCTCTCTGCACAAAGCATTCTGGGATATATCTGCCTCTTCTGAGGCCTTTCTCTTCTTCTCATTCACTTCTTATGACCGTCGGCCATTTTCCAAGATCCGCGGTGAGAAAGGTGAGCTTCAATGACTGTCTGAAACCGGGACGAGCTCGTAGGACGGCCTTACGGAAACATATCACCAGAATGATTGACAGTTAGGAGGACCACTGATTGAGATGATCCACCCGGAAATAAAAGATCCTCCTCTGTACCATTAAACAACTATTTCTAGACATTACAACATCTCAAACCGTCCATCTAAAAGACCATCAATTTTTATAAAGTGTCACAACAGAAAATAAGAATAAGATCAAAATTATCAAGAACTTCACACCAAAGAAATGCAGGATTAGCTGGGAATGACAAACAGGCAGAGTTACAGAGTACCAGGCTGCTGATCTACAGGGAACAGATACAGTAGAAGAAAAATTCATGTTTTATGCAACATCTGGTGGTGTGGTATAGTTTTTCCACAACTTATGTCAAACATGATGATTATAATGTTAATAACAGAGCGATGGAGCAGTTGGAAGACCTGAAGCAACAGAGGTTCTCCATGTTTTTACAAATGACCTGCATGACAAAATCAGCCAATAGGCTGATAACCATTTATTCCCATTCTAAAAGCATTAATCATCCACTGCATTAACAAGCCGTAGAACAACAAAGACATTAAGACAAAACAACCCACCAGGCTGAAGATGTACTTGACTTTCCAGGAATAAAAAGGATCGAGTTTAGAAACATCTGCTGTTTTACGGTCAGCAGGCTGTTTTTCCTCCTCATGCTGCTAAAAAGCTCCACCATCTGGCCAGGAGAGAGTCCCCACTCTCACCCCCACTCTCACCCCCACTCTCACCCCCACTCTCACCCCCACTGACCCTGGCTGCTGTACAGCTTGTCTCTGACATCAGTTTCCATTAGCTCCTCGGTCATTACCAAGTTTCCATTGATGCAGCAGCGCAGTCTCAGTGACGTCAAGCCATGTCCTTGATGCAGAAGCAGAGCCAAGTCACCTGCTGAGGAGCTCAACAAGTGTGTGTGTGTGTGTGTGTGTGTGTGTGTGTGTGTGTGTGTGTGTGTGTGTGTGTGTGTGTGTGTGTGTCAGACGGAGAGGGAACGATGGAACCATGTGTGTGTGTGTCTGACCACAATCACACAGGAGGGTACTTACTGCAGAGAGCGATGACGTGGCTGCTGTCTTCATGCACAAATTTCTTAGTTACTGCTTCTTCCATAATCTGCTTCACCTGTAAATAAAAAAAAGAGAGCTGAACCTCAGATGACTGCGAAAAAAAACAAAACATAATATGACAAGAATGTCTTCATTTTCAAGGTCATCAGTTTTACATCTTTGAAGAAAAACAGAGGCTGAAACAAAGAACTGCTTCAACGTTGAAACATCCTTTCCCTTAAATCACCACTAAGGAGAACGACTCGTTAAACTATAATAATTAGGGATGCACCATATTGGGATTTTGGCCCATATCCGATATGCCGATATTTTAAAACTCATGTAGCCGATAAC